TAAAATACATATTAATAGAATCCTGAATTTAACTTCCAAACTTTAGAGAATGTTAGATTCTCGACAGGGTTTCCGTGGGTCCATGAGAAGTCTTGAAAAGTCAAAAATCTATTCATCTGAATTTTAGGCCTTAAAAGACCTTTAAAAGTCTTACATTTGATTTTGATATATCTTTAAAAATGATCATGCTTAGGTTAAGTTGATTATTTTAACATCAATTTGATAATGTTACATTAATTTTAGTTGTGTTTTTCCTGTGTGTTTTTGGGAAAAATGTTTGATCAAAAAAGTAGTCCCACCAGTGGTACGTAGGTTTCATGTTATAGCTACGCAGATGTTACCTAATAGCAACAGTTCAAGGGCGAAGCCTGTACAGAATAGAATGTAACGCCACTGCTAAAACACCTGCCATCAAATAATAGTCTGTTGCTCTGCATTAACATCAGGAGAATAACCAAGACCTCAGTGCAACTCACTCTGCACCAGCTCCTGCAGCACCAAGTAAGAGTGAGGTCTCTTACTTGGTGCTGCAGGAGCTGGACCTCAGGACAGGGTTTGGATCTATGCCAACAGTAAAAACCAAGGCGCTGCAGACTTTACTCTGTAAAATCAGAGTCCAAGAATGACTTGCTAAGTAGTTTATTCGTACTCAACAGGAATACTGAGCTGATTTTTCTTCATATAATTGAGACCTTTTTTGCCAGAGTGAAATAGGCAGCATTTGAATTACAATTCTAAGGGGGCCAGGTGCAGCAAGCGGGGGTGGGTGCTTACACAGTTACTGTCTTGATTAATACAATGTGCAGGACTTCAAGAGGTAGGCTACTTAATAAAATCTAATAAAAAAACACAACATAAGCCGTTTTCACACATGAACTCTGAACTGTCCACAGAAACAGACCTGAACCTTGTCGAGAGTTCGTCTTTCACACATGTAGCACACAACAGGAGATAGTTTGTGTCAGCCCTGTTCTCACCTATTGGAGATGCTCCTTTTGGTTTATGCACGGGTAGGACCTGCAGAACATGGGACATGACACTG